TCCTAAGCAACTTTTGTAAAAGAACATTTTGTTTAAGAAATTTGTCCCAAAAGGACATTTTAGAAATAGATAGTAGTTATTTGATTTATAGTTTAGATATGTTTAGAAAAATTTCAATAATCTCAAAGCTTAAATCCATATGTGGACTATTTGATACACATAGATGTAACTGACTACATTAAAAATGACCTACTTTGAGAATTCTGTTTTATAAGACTTTTCAATTTATTTTAATCCACTTTAAATATTCTTTTAAACCTTTTTCAACTTTTTAAATGAAGATTCTTTAATTAATGAAAGTGTTTCTCTTTTATTCTTGTTCATCTTAAAAGCATATCTATCTATAGACCTCTGGCTTGAATATCTAATTTAATATTTGCATTTGAAAAAAGATTCTTTAAATATGACATTGACCTTAAGATGTTGATAGTCAGACTCTACATTTAAGTCCTGTTCTCTGCTATTAAAATAACATTGACTGAATCTCAGAACTAAATGAAAACTCTTTGGCATTTTTGAGCATTGCTTTCTGAATTAAATAAAATGCAATTCTATGGTGTTGTAGAATTGCATATATACAAATATAGTTTTCACGGTAGTTTAAGGACTTGCCTAGAAACAGCAAGCTCTTTTAGTAACCATAAACACTGGTGTCTTAGCCTGGGTGTATGTAACAAAATATCATCAACACAGACAGAAAGTGATTTCCCAGAGTTCTTGAGACTGTGAAGTTCAAGATCAAAGGACCAGCAAATTCTGTGTACCGACTTTCAGGTTCACGTGAGGGATATTCAGAACATTAATGGAACATGCTTATTAGTTTAAAAAATTATACATGGACCTGATTTTTCTCAGCTTATGTTTTAATCCCATTTTCCATAAACGTCTTGAACTTCTGTTGTACACCATGTCTCCTCACATGGACAAAGAGGTGAGAGTGCTCGTTCAGGCCTCCTGTGGAAGGGCACTAACCCCACCCAGCAAGGCTCTACTCTCATGATCTTGATGCCTCTCAGAGGCCCCTCCCCATGCCACCACCTTCGGGGTTGGGATTTCAGCCTGTGACTCATGGGCACACCAACATTCAGATCGTTAAATGGAGGTTTTCTGTCTCCCTTGTTATGAATAGTGACTTCATAGCCATAAGAAGCTACTTGTAAAAGTTTATATAAATGGAACTAAAAGATACTGACTTGCCACACAGAAATTTTAAATCCATGCGTATAGAAGATCTTCAAAATGTTCAGACATGAATATCATGAAAAAATGATACATGGATTTCAAAATATTTTGTGCTAATCTAAACTTATCTCCAAATTCAATTTATCTATGGATGTTTTATCTATTTCAAAGGCAGAATGAGAGAGACAGGGATCTACAGAGAGAGAGAGAGATCTTGCATTCACTGGTTCATCCCCGAATGGTCACAATGATTGAAGCTGAGCCAGGCTGAAGCCAGTAACCTACAATTCCATCTGGGCCTCCAATTGAGGTGGCAGAGCCAGTGTGTGTTGCTTCCTAGGCACACTGGTGGGGAGAGAAGTCAGAAACCAAGTAGCAAGTCTTGAACTGAACATGTGATGCTAACTTCACACAGGCATCACCCAGAATGCCACAGTGCCAGCCTCTTCCACAAGCTTTGTGAAATACCCTCATATATGCTGCAGCTTACAAAACCTCAAAAATAAAAACCACAGTTTCATTTCCAGCTCAAAACTGAGTGTCATGCATTATGACCCATTATCTAAAACATGCCTAATTCAATCCCATCTCGTGAAAATTGAGAGACCAGAAATCCAGATAGATCTGCCATGGAAACAGTCATGCATAACTACCTTGTTGTTTTTTAATTCTGTCATAGGTTATGCTTCTTACCCTATTATATCATTGAATATGAAAGTAGAATCATTTCTACCAAAGAGGCAGTTTGTGAGTTTGTTGATATGAGAACCCTGTCATGGTGTTTAAAAAAAATGCACACTCAGAGAATATGCTCACTTAGCCTATTAAAGAGATACATACTGTCATGAATTCTATTTCAAAAGTAAGGATGCATCCTATAGTTGATCATGTGTTATAGTACATTGTCAGCAGTAAATAACTGTGCAGATGGCAACTTCAATAAAATGTAGTAAACATCATAGGTAAGAATGTATAAAGCTTAAATGGAACATATATGTGCCAATAGCTATTTTCAATATTATTATGAATAAAAGCAGTCTAAAGTTATTTTTTTAATTCAACATTAGCTCCTAAATTTAAAAGACAGATCTATACATATGTATACTTACGTATCCTGTATTTGTACACATTTGTATACATTTATACACACACAAAGATACATACACACACACACACACATACACACATATATATAGAGAGAAAGAGAGACAGACAGAGACAGAGAGACAGAGACAGAGAAAGGGGCAGAGAGGCATCCAATATGTCTGTTCACACCCCAAATGCCCACATTGGCCAGGTCTGGGCCAGGGCTGGGACCAAGAACCTAGCATGCGGTCTGAGTCTCTCAGGTAACATGGTAGACCCTAAGCCTGCTTCCCGGGATCTACATGAGCAGAATATTGAACCAGGACTCAAAGCTGTGTACTCCCATGGGAGATGCAAACATTTGCGTCTCAACTGCTAGGCTAAACAGTTACCCCTAAAGTGGCATAGTTTAATGGGATCTGATTTAAAATAATTTGACATAAATGAAATAATATTTTGGAAAATGTATCCTTGCTCAGTTTTGCTTCAAAATGTGGACTTTTAAATTTGTTGTCTGTTTCAGAAAAAAAATAAGAAGCAGTGCAGATAATTAAACATTTGCCTTGGGGAAAAAATGTTTGCAGTTAATTAAAACCACACACTTCGGGTGCACACACTTGCTTCACTGATCATTAATTTTGAATCGTATGTTAACTACCCAGGTTTCTCACTTGTCCATCAAACATTGCTGATGGCAGTTTTAAGAAATAAACTTTCCCATAAATTTGCAAACAAATCATGTTATTCAAAGTTATTTTGCAGTATTGAGGACAGTATACAGAGGGAGAAAGGAGGAGGCAAGGGGAAACAGTGAAAGAATGATTTATTTTCTATTCCATCTGATTCAGCTGTGTTAGGGAGTTTGCACTCAGTTGAGACACAAACTCAGTAGAGAACCAATTTATAAGGAATAATGGTGTCATCTTTCCATCTTCACGTCTCTTGGGGCCTCATGCCAACAAGATTAGTGTGTGGCTTTTAGAAGTCTTTGGATTTTCTCCCTTTTAGATTAAAAAATATCACTAGATGGTAAATTCCGTGATGGCAGAAAGTTGTTGTTGTTTCCCGTTGGCTTTCAATTATCAAGAAGAGTGAAGGCCTAGAATTGGCCCCATTTGTCCTCCTGCTGCCCTATTTGTAGGCTCTTCCAAGGCCTTTAGTTTTTATTTAAAAAAAAAAAATATGTATGCGTGTTAAATAATGTATGTATTTGGAAAATAGGACAAGGAAGAGAAAGGGAGTGATAGAGAGAGTAAAGGAGATGTCTGTCAACTGCTGGTTCACTCCCCAAACAGCTAACAGCCGTAACAGCCCGATCTGGACTAAGGTGAAAGCTGGGAGCCAGAAACTCCATCTGGGTCTCCTCTGAGGAGAGTAGGTGCCAGGCATGCAGGCCAACATGGGATGGTTTCCCAGGAAGGTCAGCAGGAAGCTGCATCAGTGCAGTGGCAGTCAGGACTCAGACACTGTGACATCGCAAGCAGTGGCTCAACCTGCTTCTTCCATTGAAAGGAGTCTGCAGGAGCCAGCACTGTTGGTAGTAGGCTAACACTCTACCCATGGTGGAAGCATCCTATAATGGTGTCAGCAGTGTCTCAGAAGCTCTGCTTATTGCCCAGCAGGCAGCAGAGGATGGCTCAAATACACGAGCCTTTGTGCCCTTGAGGAAGAACCACAAGAAGCTCCCAGCTGCCAGCTTTGGATCAGCCCAACACCAGCCATTACAGCTATTTAGAATCTCTATATCTGCTTACTCTTTCATTCTTTCTGTAACTCTGCCTTTCAAATAAAAATAAAGCAAATATGTAAAAACAAAAAGTAGTCTCTAGAGAGACTTTTAATTAATGGGAACTCCAGTTTTGCCAAAGTCCATAGACATGGAATTACCATAGAGATGTCATTTCTTGTAAAGAACATTTTATAAAGGAAAAGATGAATGTGTGCTGATTTGACATTGACCTGTCCACTATGAGGGAGGGAACGGTGTTGCAGAGAAGGCCTGCCTTCCCTCATTAGTCTTGTTCAATCAGTATGCTTCCAGAGGAAAATGACTTAGTGACCAAAAGATTTCAAAACACTACATCTAACTTTTCCAAACACTTATCCCATGTATAAACAATCACTAATAAGGAAGCATGAAAAGCATCGAAATGAAATATTCCCTTATCTTGCTGTAGTGCTTTAAGAAGAACTTGTTTATTGATTTAAAAAAAAAATTCAAGTAGGGCTAGCACTGTGGCATACAAGTAGAGCTGCTGATTACCGCACTAGCATCCCACATGGGCACCAGGTTTGGGTCCGGTTCCCTGCCTGGGGAACTGGGAAAGCTGTGGAAGATGACCTAAGTGCTTGGATCCTTGATCCAAGTAGGAGACCATGAAGAAGCACATGGTTCCTGACTTAGGACTAGCCCAGCTCCATCCATTACAGCCATTTGGGGAGTGAGCCAACAGATGGAAGATCTCTCTCTCTCTCTCGAAGATCTCTCTCCCTTTTTGTGTCTTGAATAGTTTCTTTCTCTCTGTCTTCTTCTGCCTCTGCCATCCCGTCTTCCTCCCTGTAACTGTCTTCCCAATAAGTAGGTAGTCTTAAAAAGCATTTCAGTATTTTAACACTTTTTAAAAAAAATTAATGAAGTTTGTTTCTTCAAACATAGTTCTTGCCTGTTAGTGTTAGCTGCCCTAAATCCATGTTCAAATTGCTGATTCAAGATTTTGCTTGCTTGCTTTCAGATTCTGCAAAGGATGAAACCATTACAAAAGACAGTGATATAACAGATCATTCTGCGTGTGACCACGAGCATCCCGATGGTAAGTGGTGAGATCATCCTTTGTTTCCTGCTGGAGAATATTACATTTTAAAAACTTAACACTTTCTGGAGAGAATGGAATCCTGATAATATTTTGTTAGTGTTGAATGCTAAGTCATCGGTAGGTAGCCCCTCCCATCTTTGTATTGATTTTTTTTTTCCTTAAAAGGAGAAGCGATACATGGACAGAGATCTCCCATTGGCTGATTCACTCCTTAAATGTCCCCAACAGCCGGGCCTGGATCAGGGCAAGGCCTAAAGTTGGCACGTCGATCTTTATCTCCCATGCAAATGGCAAGAACCTACCCCATAGAGCTGTCAGTACTGCCTTCCGCAGTGTGCGTGAGCAAGAAGCTGGTATTGAAACAGCTGTGAAAAGGGAGTGTGGACGTTCCAAATCACAGCTTCCCCGCTATGCAAGAACCATGCCTGAAGCTGCTGTCTTTAGATAAGGTTTCTGCTCTCCAGGATAGTCATCACGCATTACTTCATTTATTTAGTTTTTGGCCAGCCTACCTAAATTCTATCAGCATTGCCTTTGCAGCTCTGTAATGATGACATGATCACAGTGACAATACACAGGAGATGTATGGCAAATAAATTCAGAAGAAATAGACTTGGAATGCCAAGAAGGAGAAATAGAATAAATAGAAACGAAGCCATCTTCAGAAAAGTATCATAAAAAAAAATGTTTCCCTGATGCAAACCAATTTCTCTGCCCCAAACATGAGATTACACATTATATTTATTGGCAAAGATAATGCAGACGCAAATGAAAATAGAAACCGACATAACCGTATGGAATTTTTGAGGATCAGTGATAAAGAAAGGCTTTAAAAACATAGCTGTTCAAATCAAGTCAGAAGCAACATCACCGCCGGAGCACTAAAACGGATTTCCAATATTTAGTGAGTTAATATTCGTTCACCAAATCAAGAGTCATATTTTCTCTGGAATACAGATGAAGAAAAGCATGTTATTCAGGTACCCTTTCTCAATAAACTAAGAGGAGATCTGTGCAAAAACAATAAATCAAAAAGGAGCACAAAATTTAAGACTGAGAAAGGCACAGTTGGAAGGCACTGCATGACAAGAGGTTAATTAACTGTGAAACGCTACCAGAATCTTTTTTTTTTTTTGCTGATTAGCATCCTAATATATTACCAAAATATGAATTGTGCTTAAAACTTTGAACATTAGAGTTTGTATGTTTTTAAAATGACAAAGAGGAAACGTCTACATTAAAAACGAATGCATATCTATTTTTCTCACTAAATACCTGTAGACAACCTACACAAATAGACTTCTATATCCATTTATACTCAAACAGTATATAAATTTCCACATATATTACATGTATATAGATGTGAGGGTATTTCAAAAGCTTGCAAAAATGGAATTATAAAATAGGTTTATTTTGTGGCAAGAAAAGGCTGAAATCTAGAACAGGCCTTTGGCTCAGTGCTTGTAACACTGTACCCACCACCCACGCCTGAGTGGCTGCTCTGAGTGCACTCCCACTCCCAATGCCAGCTTCCTGCTTACGGGCATCCTGAAAGGCCGTAGGTGATGGCTCCTGTGCCTGGGGTCCCTGCCACTTCTCTGAGAGACCTGGATTGTCTTCTTGGCCCATAGTTTTGTCCTAACCAAGTGCTTGCTGCCACAGGCCTCCGTGGAGTGAACCTACAGGTGGAAGCTCTCTCTTCATCTGTCTCTGTCTCTGTCTCTCTGTCTTTCCAATAAATTAAGAAAAAAAAAGCTGATGAGTTAATCAGTTTCACATTTTGCAGTGCATACGCAAGGCATCTTTAAAATATTACTTAAAATGCATATTAAACTGCATGAGTTTCAAACACCTCAAAAATTATTTCAAAGTGCAAAACATTTGGCATGAGGACAAGCTTACCTTCCAAGTTACACTCTGTCTTTCCCCACCCCCACCTCTACAATAAAATTTTAGAAATCATTAGAGAAGAACGTATTTTAATTCGATCTTCCATGAACTATTTGGAGCATTCTTCTATATACTGGGAAAAAAGGAAAGTGACTGTTTAAAGACATGAGAGACCCAACAAGATGGCAATAATTGCTAAGCTAGCTGAGATGAATGCTCAGCTATGCGAACCCAGCTTTGGAAAGTGATTTTGCTTCTGGGCACTCGCTGATTCTGCAGAAGGTGTCTAAAGTCTCATTTGCTGCTAGGAGCAAGGGACCTAGAGTTGAAACACCAACAATCTGTACCATGGCAGGAAGAATGAGCCAGGAACCCTCTGAAATAGTGCTGCCTATCATTGAATCATCTTAATCCCCCAATTAAATTTACCTAACAGCTCACGTTGCTAGTTCCCCTGAGCACCTAAAAGAAAAAAACAAATCACTGTAAAAATATTACTAACAAGGAAAAAAAAAAAGAGTGTTGGAAGTTTCAAATATTTTTAAACAATGTGTGAAATGTAATATTTAGCACACATGTACAAGAATAACCCCCCAACGCAAAAATAGAATTAACATAGCATGAAACTCAAGCAAAGAGATAAGAAATGTCAGGCCATAGAGCTGAAAATATTAGAATTATAAGCACAAAATCTAAAATAGTTATTACATGCAATACAATAAAGGTAAAATTTTAAATTTTAACTAAAAATTGAGAAATCATAACCAAAAGATGAGAAAGGAGAGTTTAGAAGTAAAAGATGCTGAGGCAGGCACCATGGCACGGTAGGTCAAGCAGCCACCTGCAATCCTGGCATTGTATATGGGAGTACGTGGGAGTCCTAGCTGTTCACTTCCAGTCCAACTCCTTGCTAGTTGGAAAAGCAATGGAGGATGTCCTAACTTATGGAAGATCTGTGTGTGTGTGTGTGTGTGTGTGTGTGTGTGTGTGTGTGTGTGTCTGTGTCTCCCTCTCTCTCTTTGTAACTCTGCCTTTCAAATAAATAAACTTGAAAAAAAAGGATGTAGCAGATACTATAACAGAAATTAAGAGTGCAATTGATGGGTTTATAGTTCAACAACATGTTAGATACAGAACAAAGAGAATTTGTGAGCTTGTAGCGAGGTCAGAAGTAGGTATCCAAAGTAATAGCAATAGGAAAAAGTAGGATGAGGAACATAACATGAAATAAGAGGAAATGATGTTGAAGACATAACGACAAAGCTCTTCACAAGTGTCACTGGAGTCCCATACAAAAAAACAGGACAGATTTGGACAGAAGCAACATGTGAAAAAATCCTAGGAGATTTCCCACATTGAGGAGGAAAGCCAGGGCAGTTATCCCCAAATACTTTCGAGCTCCAAATAGAATTAATAAAAAGTAGGTCAATCATAATTATCATGCTGAAGGCCAAATATAAACAAATCATCTAAAAAGCAGTCTTCACATACTTAGATTGATAGCTGAATTATCAGCAGATACAATGGAAAATAAAAGAAAATAAAGCAAAATAATTACCAATCGGAAGTTTTAATCCAGAGTGAAAATCATGCCTCAAGAATGAAGGTTATTTGAGAACACTTCATACCAAATAAATAAGCAAATAAAGGCATAGTTTATTGCTAGAAAATACTGCTGTTCTGCAGGTACAAAGACATTCATTCTGGATAGAAGGCCACAGACAAAGGAGCAAGGAAAAATGATAATTATTGGATAAGTCAATAGCGGTGTCACGAAACTCTAAAGTTAATAATAATGCATATATATAATTAAATACAGCACATTAATGGCATTAATAGGAATAAGACAAATTAAATCTCAGTGTTCTAGTGTTTCTCTATGCTCATGGGTGGTGAAAGTATCAATTAACATTTACATTCTATCAGTCTCAACAATCCCTGAAAGTTAAGGATTGAGATGAGCTCCGTGGCTGCCCAGTTGACTGCCTAGACACAGTTGTCAGTTCACGGAGCAAAGGAAGGCTCAGGCAGATCTAAGGAACTTTCAGAGTTCTGGAAAGGCGTGGCATCCAGCATTTGAAGGACAGAGTGTTGAACAGCCTAGAGAGAATGGGGGAGAATAGGAGATAGCTCCTCACAGGCAGTGCCTCCAAGCTTTGACAGTATACTGATCAGAAATTATCAAAGGCTGGGTCAGGGCCCAGCTCGGAACCTTAGCAGCTAAAGTCCTCAAATTGAACACACCCGGATCCCATATGGGTGCCGGTTCTAATCCCAGCAGCCCCACTTGTTATCTAGCTCACGGCTTGTGGCCTGGAAAGGCAGTCAAAGATGGCCCAGAGCCTTGGGATCCTCACCCACACATGGGAGACCTGGAGGAGCTCCTGGCTCCTGGCTTCGGATTGGTATAGCTCCTGCCATTGCATTTACTTGGGATGGAAGATCTTCTTCTCTGTCTCTCCTCTTCTCTGTACATCTGACTTTCCAATAAAAATAAATAAATCTTTAAAAAAAAAAAGGACTGGGTCAAAAATATCAAAATACTTGTTGCAGTGACCCATGGAGATGATAGGGGTTTGCAGCAATGTCCATCCCAGCCAAACTGCAAAACCTGGACATTCATGGAGAACTTGGAAGGGCTTTGCTCAGCAAGGGTGGAAAACAGGCAATAGAACCAATGCTGCTTTTTGTCTGTCCTAATACAGACTGAATCAAGTTGTTTCTGAATAATTTAGCTGCATCCTGGGATGAAGCTCAAAACACAATAAAATGTTGCTCAACACTCAATAAAATAAAACTGACAAAATTATCAGTGTGTAAAGGGTATGGGGAGATAAGGCTTTGTATGCTTTTTTCATATTTCTGCACATCTTCCATGCAGAGACATTGACTTCTTTGTTCTGGCCAATCTTTGCTGAAATGTTTGTATAGCAAATAAGCTTGAAAGACAGAATAAAAAAAAAACAATATGTTCTTCTAAGGCAAGGATGAGGCTTCTTTATGGTCTTAAAAGATAGGAGTAGTGTCTCCCCTAGATCTTAAAAAAAGAGAGAGAAAATTATGGTCCATTATAAAATATTCAGATTATCTGAATTCAAGCTTCTTTT